TTATTATTATTACTATTATTGAGTTAATGCTTATTAATTGTACTTCTGCTTACTACTACAACTGAAAGCAAGGAGCTGCTCTGTGATTCTTGCCAAACTGATAGCCAGTGAGCAGGACAGAAATCTCTGATTTGAATGTAAAATAAACCAGGGAAGACTGACCAAGTGACATGATGCTGGAGGCAAGGAGTAAAGAAAATGAACTGGAAACTGGATAAAATCAAGATGACTGGGAGAATGGGAAAACCAGCACCAGCAGAGTGGAAGGAGAGTCTAAATGAGGGTCTGACACGTGAGGTATGTACAGAAACAGGGGACTGTTGCCACAAAGCACGTGCACAAAGGAGCTGAGGGAACGGAAGGGAAGTTGCTCTGCTATGAGATGGGAACCCACCAAAAAATGGTGGGAAGTGTAAGACAAAAGGATTCCTTGCTATTAATTTGTGGAAAAACAGTATCATTCATTGTAAGAGACTGGGTGACCCTGAATTTTTGAGCAGGAACATATGGTGGGTTCTTACAAAGTGCAGTTTACAAGAGCGGTGAGGACTGTGCTCAATAGAGTTTTCAGCAACTTTAGGACTGGACTCAAGGAAGCCTCCAAACCTGCAGCCTCAGATACTCTTTTGTCTTAATTTAGCTGATCTGGGACAATTTCCCAGAAGAATAAGACATCCCCAGCAAGTCCAAAACACGACTGTTGGAAACAAGGTGTCCCTATTATTGTTATTTTTTAAACATTACAAAATATAGAATCATAGAATCATAGAATGGTTTGGGTTGGAAGGGACCTTAAAGCTCATCCAGTTCCAACCCCCCTGCCAGCAGCAGGGACACCTTCCACTAGACCAGGTTGCTCAAAGCCTCATCCAGCCTGGCCTTGAACACTTCCAGGAAGGAGCAGCCACAACTTCCTTGGGCAACCTGTCCCAGTGTCTGACCACCCTCACAGTGAAGAACTTCTTCCTAATATCTAATCTAAACCTCCCCTCTTTCAGCTTAAACCCATTTCCCCTTGTTTTGTCATTAACTGCCCTTATGAAAAGTCCTTCCCCAGCTTTCTTGTAGGCCCCTTTCAGGTCCTGGAAGGCTGCTATAAGATCTCCCTGGAGCCTTCTCTTATATCCCTCCTCCAGTCTGACTGTGAGACAGCAGAAATATTAGAACAATTTTAAGGATGATAAATGGCTGAATCTTTCATGCAGGGTTAAGTGGAAGATGTAACGAAGCTGTGTACTGCTACGAACAGAAACTCCTGTGGGAAGAGCTGGGTTGCTTGAAGCTCCTTCTGTGGGAAGGAATATCTGCTTTTCACATTGCAAAGTAATGGGAAAGCAAAGGCTGGCACTGGAAGTTAAGCACATGCTAAGAGCCATCCCAGCACCGCATGAGTCTCTGGTCCCCACAAGGCTCACCATGACTTTGCCCTGTTTTGACCCAGTATTGCAAAAAAGAAAAACAAAAATCTATCCTGATGAACGTTACTGAAAATTTTCAGCAAAAACACAGTTAACTTTTCAATAAAATGATGCTTCAATCACTCTACTGAATTGCAAAGTGGGTGGAAAGCCTGCTGTAAGTTTAACACTTGCTGGCAAAGGTTAAATGTCACACAAGCAGGCTGACCCCCATGCAACCACACATTTGCTGTTTTTCTCAGGTCTTGCACATCATGCTTTAATAGTTTGGAAATGTATTTAGCTTTACCATTGTCAGAGTAAGTCATGTTGTCAGGCTCAAACGTGTTTTAGACAAAGACACACAAAACCCTAAGAAACCAAGGCAATTTGGAAGGACTCAGTAATTATTATAAAAGGAAAGAAAAGGCCGCAAAGGATAATGAGACTATTTCAAGAACAAGGGAACAATGAACAATCTCTGATGCGTTGCTTGCCAAGACAATTTCCCGCAAGAAAACAAACCCACGAGAAGACAAGAGCGTAGATTTTAGAAATACAAAACATAATGTCCAAAAGAACAGAGTCAGGGCGATTCTGAAACACAAGGTCAGGCACCTTCCTCGGGACACCCGCCAGCCACGCTCCCCAGCCATCGCAGCTTCTGCCAGTGCTCTCCATAAGGCACTCACCCTGCTGCTGCTCCAGGCCCTCCAGGTTTTAGAACTGCCTGTGCAGCTCTTGGAGAGCCAACTTTTGAACTTAGACCAGTCTGTAGATATTCTTTATCTTTCAGATGAGAAATCAGTAAGCAATTTGTGACTCAGAACTACCTCCCAGTTCATACTCAGGCTGAACACAGCCTGAACCTCTTGTATCAACAGAAACAAAGCCATAGAAGACCTCTTGCCACCAACACTCAAGAGTGAAACACCAACTATTTAGATGTAAGTTTTCACTTACCCGAGTCTCCTTCACCTCCTCATTTCCATCAACTTCATCATCATCCTAAGATGAAAAGCAACAATACAGTTAGGCAGCCTTGGAGATGACACCATTTTATCACAAGAAGATGACGTATTGCTTATGATTTGGTGTTAAAGCTGAGACCATGTCTTTCAAAAGAAATGCCTTGGGATGCTTTTGGCTGATTATCTGATAGGTCTGGTAACCTAATGACCATTTAGAAGATCTTGGTACTGGGGACAGAATTACTCTCTTGAGATGGCTACTGCAATTTGAATGCTTCCTGAAGAGTCAGTAGGAGGAGGAGTAACACTCCTTCATATACATAGGGAACAAACGTGACACTCGGGAAGACCATGTATCTGAAATGTTGGGTATGATATTGACTTTCAAAGAATATCCTCCACTTCAGTTAGACTCCAGGAGGAAAGACTGGTCATTTCAGACAGCTTGCACTTACACAGCCTCTCTGTAACCCACCACCTCTTTGTAACAGCTCCAGGATTTCACGGAGCAACAGTAAACTACCACGGCACCACATCTGACTCACTATTGAACTCAAGGTGCTTTAGAAGTTGTAGCTGCAGTTTTGTATAGAGACAACAGGGAAATGAACCAAAACTCTGAGAGGCATTTTGCTTTCTGCTCTGAAGCTGGTAATGTTGCTCATTACAATGATCCAGTAAACAACTGGGCAAGCTGTAAAGCATTTAACTTAAAAAAAAACAATAAGAAAAAATAAATCACATTTGGCACGCAAGTGAAAAAATGTAAGAATCATTTGAAAATAATAAAAAGGGGGTGTTTGCTGCAAGTCTTCCATTAGAAATTCTGAGGTTTCCAGCAGGACCGTTCAACTTGTCTGTCACTCCAAATATTCAACATGTGTTGCCACAGGGAAGGCCACTGGGGTTTTTTCCATTGTATTGTGCAGGAAGCCCCTACCCCGGGGGCGTGTGAGGAAGGCTGTATGTCCATAGCTGGACTAGAGTTCTTGCAGACAATTTCATAATGCTTATTCTCTTATGAAAAAGGTGATCTGTTTTCCTACCCAAGTCTCTAACCAAGGTTTGGAGGGTTGGATTTCTTCCCTCAGACTGAAGAAATCATTTGGAAAGCAGGACTAAGAGGAATGACCACGACACAGACAGCTCTCCTGTTTTTATGCTGTGTGTGTTCTCTGGTGCTGGGCAGGGAATCCACACACAGGTTTTATTCCTCATTGTCTTCATTTTAGGGGGCCTAAAGCATAGCCAGATTTGGGCTCAGAGGAATTTGAAAATACTTCCAGTGGCTTGTGACCTCCCTCTTCCAAAGAAACCAGACACCTAATCTCTCTTCTCCCATGTGGGCTCTTTCAAAATTGTGCAAGGATCGCACTGATTTATGGCTCAACAACAGGCTTCCCAGAACCTGCTGCTGGGGTTTTCCTTGGGCCAAACAGGATGCAACTCCTCTGAAATAGAGGGAAGGACTAATGGGAAATCAACTGACTTGAAAAAAAATCTGAAGCCTGGAACTGAAAGGAAATTCACCTTGAATATGACAGAATGAATTTCTCTTCTCTAAAGAACTCAGACTTACATCTTTTGTTGAGAAAATGATGCCGGTGCCTCTTCGCCTCTCTTTTGGCCGCCGCCTCTCTCGGATTGACTGTTTGTTCGGAGATCTGTCATCTAAATCCTGATCTTCACACTCTGGCCAAGCAAAGAAAGACTGCTTTGGTTTCAGTGATTTACATCTGTGCTTTTGCTAAGGTACTGGAGTTCTTTTCGAGCTGATCAAGGTCATCTTGTGTTATATTACGAAGGAGTTATTAAACCAAATGAAATGGAATCTCAGTGCCCTACTACATCTGGTTACTCACACTCCTTCCTTTATCAGAGACCAGAGAGGTTGCCCTAGCTGTCAGTTCTCCCCAGATCATCCCAATTTATGCCTACTCTGTACAAACTGTACTACTGGAATCCTAGTGGAATCCCTTCCCTCAGCTCTAAGATCTAAACGCTCCATGAATCACTACCTCACTTACTTATCCAAAATGGAAAACATCCTTTTATCCCTCTCTGTTACAAGCAACACACTGTACCCTACACTGGGATTTCAATTTAAACAAATCACATTTGTTTGGTGAGATGGCAGCTCCCCATACTGCTCCTCTACGAATAACAAGTAAACTTATTCTCTCTGTACACATTGAAAGTTTTAAAACCCATGAAAATCCCTGAGCTTTGACTGTTCTCCCGTCTCCTGGGTACATACCATTTTTCTCCATCTCTGTGGCTGCGCTTCTGAAGTCTGCTGGATTCACAGAGTCAAGACCTAAATACTTATTCGTTCGAGTCAGGTATGAACTTGTGTAAAGGAGAGGTGCTGACGTCGAAGGAGATACAGGCGTTGTAGGTTTGTCTGGTTGCACTGGGCACCTTAATCGCCGATAGACAGTCTATAAACAAAGAACCATGACAAAAAGTTAGGAGAATGAGAGGAACTACCAGATTTGGGATTTCAGGGAACTGGATAATCTTTTAAGTGTAATGTTTTCTCCACTGCTGCTGGAGGTGACCACCTCCATCTGCGAGATGAGGTTCATTCCATCAGACTGGGGTGGATGTTAAAGTATTGCACAGCTACAACGTGAGAGCACCTTCCCATTGCTGGGATCAATCTCTTTGTCCCTACAGCCAACAGCAGGACAAACAAGTTATCTGATAGAAATGAACGATTTACAGTTAAAAAACCAGAAGCGATTGGGAGAAAACAGGTCTCTTTGGCTTTCCATTACACACAGAACATCTGGGGAAAAATATGAGCACAAAGCTGCCACCCAGCCTGCAGAGCAAGGATGGATCCAGGCCACATTTCTATCATTAGCCTTCTCATTCCACTTTCTGTGATTTACAGTTTTATTTTCTGGCAAGAGACAGAAAAGTGAAATTCCCAGCAGGAGCAAAGGAACAGTGAACCTCTAACACCTACACATCCACACCCCTCGTGCAGCTCGCTGACGTGAGCCACGACTCCTCAGCGTCACTTCTTTCCAGCAAGTCTGCGCCCCTTAAAATAAACAGAGATGCCTCAAGCAATTTCTCCTGATCTCAGCTATCCTGAACGGCTTCATTAACTCTGAAACAATGAGAAGTGAGGCCATCACCTCCTCATCTGTATTTCTGCTCCACCGTGACCGGGTCTCCTGCCTCTCACTGCTGTCCTCAGCAGGCTCAGCGCTCTCTGCTTTCTCGCTTTGCTGTTCCTGAGCTTGTCGCTCTGCCCGAGACCGGCTGAAGGTTCGCTCAGCCTCCTGAAGATCTGTCAGTGTCACACCCTGGAGAGGAAGTAAGAGAGAATTTTTCAATTTATACAATTAGATTTCAAGTCTTTCAGGTCAGTTTAAAATGCCCAGCAGGCTTATATCTGGCCAGGCTAATGTTTCATCTTTATGCTAACAGAAAGAAAAGACTTCTGTTGCCTTTAACACATTTCTCAGTGTACCTACCTAATCACTGACTCAAAGCAACCCAAATATACGTGATCAAGCTACAAACTAAAAGGCAGGTACACTGCAGAAGTGGGAACTTTGCTCGAGGGAATATTTTGTAATAACTGTTTGCAGGAACTTTTGCCAGAACCTCTCCGACACAGTGAAGGTAGACAAGCTCCTCATCCTAAGCAGTAACATAAAAGCAGAAGAAAATCCTGCCTCTTTATACATCAGTTCTCTTCATCCTACACTCAAACATGAGTATTTCCATTCTTTACCTGTGTAGACCTGCGAGTCTGCCGGGCCTGCCTGGATCGTGCCTTCCTCAGTGATTCTGCTTCCTCATCCCGCACCGGAGTCAGATATGACCTGAAAAATAAAAGGGCAGAAGAGGTTAAAATAAAAACAGATGCCCTCTCTTCCTGTCTCTGCAAGCTCCAGAGCTGAGATTTTATTCTCTTTCATACAGACAAAAATCATTTTAGCTCCATCTACCAAGACTATTGTCATCTTCTGCTTTGGGACAACTTTCTTACGAGTATGTGATACGCAAATGCTTGCATTAGGTTCTCTGTAGAGTCCCTAAAGAAACTCTTCAGTGTTGGACATGTTCTGTTAAAAAAAAGTGCAACTATTTAGTATATTATTTGCCCCATTCCATGTCTTATTGCATCATCAGGAATAAAGAAAAAAACCCCACCACCTCTGATTCAGATAAAGATCTCAAGAACAGAAATCCTGTGCTGGCACATTCCTCAGACCCTCCTCCCTGTCATTATATTCATGATCATATTCCTGCAATCTGCTGTCTTCATCAATATGAAATCCATCACGCCAGAAACCGGCTGAACTGCAGGCATCTTATAAAGACAAAACACCTTGAAAAAAGCTATGAAATTAAAGAAATGACCTTCACACACTGGAGTAAACTGAGTCCCTTAATACTGAGAAACACACAGTTAGAATACAGAGCTGGTGACCACTAAATTACATTAAACTGGGGAGATTTCAAAAGAATTGTTCACGTGAAAATAAATAAACTGAACTCTGAGCACTGGCATTCACTGTGGATGAACTGGAGAGGAATTAGTCTGTGCTCCTGCAGAACTGGGGATCACACAGGAGTAAGTCTGAATTCCACTGGTGGAGTGGCTTCCATCCTAGGAAAGATTAATTAGATTGGACACTTCATCCTGGTTAACAGGGAATGATTATTAACACCATCTCACCGTACAAGGATGAGGGTGCCTGAAATGCAACGTTGTTTTGTGGGTCTATCACTGCCACAGATTAACAGAGTATCAAAGATCCAAATACGTTCAAAGAATAATTAGCCAAGTGAGGGATTAAGATCTATCAAGGAATACGCTTACTTTGTCCTTGGACTCTTTTCGTGGTTTTCCACTACAGATCGCTTTCAGGGAAAAAGGAACGGGCTGAACAGATTTTGCATCTGACCCAGTAAGTTAAGACATTCATTAGACAGATTCTCACTTTGCTGCGCTACAACAAAACCTCAAAGAATCACAAAATTGGGGTCATTCCAAAATCATCTACCGTGATGGCTTTTATCCACCTTCACGATCCTGTGTCCAGCACCAATTTAGCTGTGCAGCCAAGTGCAGACTGACCTGCAGCGCTCAGCAGAGACACATCACTTAATGGGGAGTTCCTCTGACTATTTGGAGGCACATCCACAGGAGCTGCAGTCACCTCGCACTTTAAGTGTTGGTGGGGCACACGTGAGAGTCTTCTCACCTAAACCTGGTGTATCTGACCTGATAAATCACGCCCCGAACTCCCCTGATCTCCAAAGAGTACAAGGAGAGCGCAAAGGATCGATCGTCCATGCTGAAGATGCCTGCACTGCAGACTTCTGGAGGAGATGAATCATGCTCTGGGAGCTGGCTGCGATGGAGATGTCTACATCCGAGCTGGCCAGGCTGACTGTGCTGCACTTCCAGGGCTCAATTTATCACCTTCAGAAAGAGCCTCCAGCACAGATCATGTGAACGCATCGCGGAGGAGCTCATTGCTCCCCATTGATTATCCAGACAGACACACTAGCTGTGATGGATACGCCAACACGGGAAGCGCCTAAAATTCAGAGGGATGATTGCCTCCCAAGAATTCGCTGTTTCATGAACAAAAAAAGCTGCTATTTGATGAGCAAAAGCTGTGCAACTCCTAATTTTGCAGACAAAGTAGTTCTCTTCTGCTGTCCTTTACGCAGTGCATATGTGCTGCCCAGGTAATGGCACATTAAGGAAACAATAAACATTTTCTGCAGCTTTTGACACAAGTAGAATAGCTGCTGTTTGCACAGCATCCAGAAGTAATAAGCCACCTACAGGAAGAATACATTTGTGAAATACACTGCAAATTAAGTTCAGAGTAGTAGGAAAAAAAAAAAAAAGTAGTTCCTGAAACATATAAACCAAGTAAATCTGTAGCTAAGTAAGGTGGACAGTTCATTGTAACAGCTCTGAATCAGTGGAATTTATGTCTCATGCTCTGTGACAAGGACAGGGGAGTGTAGGAGCTACATACATCCGATGGGGAATAAAAGGAGGGAAGGCGAGACCTGCCTTTGCCCTAAGAGGAATTCAGCTCCTGCTACAGCACGTAGGTAGTGGGTGACATTGTGCTTGTTCAGGAACACTCCTGGTACGTGTGAGCAACACGAGATCACGCTTACAGCAGCTGAAGTGCTTTTGCACACAGAAGAAAATAATACTGAACTCCCTGTCACCGGATGTGAGAGAGGACAAAAGAGATTTTCAAAATAGATTCAAAAAAGGTTCAGGAAATCCATGGAGAACAGGTCAGCACCAGCTACTGAAGAGGAGGCTGAGCGTGCAGCTGCTGAGCCACAGAGGGATTCGCGGCAGTGTGAGAAGAGGCGGGTGTGCAGGAGCACAGCGAGGCTGCAGGATTCCCCTCATTTCAGGATTTAGCTACAGACACAGCACGCAGCGATCCAGCAAGAGAAACACCATGTTGTGTCCCTTCCCCATCATGCTCCCAGACTTTTTTCCTCTGCTCTCCCAGAATTTATATAAAAACAGCAGTAAGTTAAAACATCATTAGCAATATTGGGTGTCCAACCTGTAACACAGAATCCCAGAATTGCCTGGATTGGAAAAGCCCTTTGAGTCCAACCATGAACCCAACACTGACAAGTCCCCGACTAACCCATGTCCCTCAGCACTATGTCTACACGACTCTTCAATCCCTCCAGGGATGGGGACTCCACCACTGCCCTGGGCAACCCCTTCCAATGCCTCAGAACCCTTTCAGCAAAGAAATTCTTCCTCACATCCCATCTCAACTGCCCTGGGCACAACTTGAGGCCATTTCCTCTTGTCCTGTCACTTGGTCCTTGGGTGAACAGGAACAGCAATACCTCCACCTCTCTCCACCTTCTCTCAGGTAGTACAGTGACTTAATCTTCAGACAAGCACATTTTGCAAGTCAGAGTGGCTCAGTTCGGGCTGCAGCCTTTATCGATTGCTAACTTTTGGTTTCTTTCCATTTACACAATTTTTGGAGCTCACCCAAAGCCATTTTACAAGCCTGAGATAACTGAATGTTCTGAACCCAGTCGGCAGAGCCACTGCACAGTGACAGAGCTGATTTCTCCAAGCAAGCAGCTACAGCCTTTTCCTGATGATGAAAGAAGGTGGCCATGCTGTAAATATTTCAAATGCAAAGAGCAGACTGCTGGCAATTCACTCACATTTCTGTTCTCATTAGGGGTTTTTTGTGTTTTGATTTTTTCTTTGGGGGAGGAAGAGCCGATAAAGCCAGATTTTACAATTTTAGGTGATGTTTCACTTTGCTTACGAGCTGAATTTTAAGAGACTTGAATGTGCTAAATGGGATGGAAGAAAGAAAGAGAGAACAAATTCACTGCAAAGAAGACGGCAAGTCTGATGCAGCCACAAAGCAAGGCTGGGCTGGATGACAGAGAGCGAGCAATGCACTGCTCTCCAAAGCAGAAAAACTGCAGATCACAGCAAGCTGCAGAGGAGAGACAGCAAATGGGGTACGAGGCCGTCTGTAAACAACCCACAGAGTTTTTAATTACGTTTTCAAGAAACACGCTGCTTGCTAAAATGCAGTATCTATGTCATGCTATTAATTCAAGCAAATATCACATGATCCAAGCAGATCTGCAAAGAAATGGTCCTACACGCTGTATTTTCTTGCAATAAGCTTTGTCTGATAAATACATGAAATAAGAGCAGCCATCATGCCAAGTTCAAGGCACGCATAAAGCAGAACAGATTTTTCCCAGAGTTTTGGTTACAAGTACAAGCAGCAGAATATAAATTGCTAGCGATGCCTGCGTGAGAGTCAGCAAAAACACTGCACAGATTTATAGTTCCCAGAGACAGACGAGTGTGTCCTGCTGCCACAAGAGCTGCGAGCTTCTGACTCGTGTATTAGCCAGAAAAGAGCTGGGAACTGAATGATGAATCTGGCTCCAAATTAATGCTCCTGTTTTCAAGAAAACACCTATTTTCTCTGTTAACTCTTTTAATCAGGATAGTGCAGCACAGAATGATGGATCCTGACTGCTCATCACCATCTCAAGGCAAAAGGAGCTGCAGTAAAATACTAATAGAAGGGGAGATTCAAAACAGGGCAATAGTAAGGCTGGATATAAATGAACCAATCTGTATGTTAGAGAACCTGTACCAGAGGAAAAAAAAACCACCTTGAGAAGAGAAACTCCTCCCAAGCAATAGGTAAACAATGCAGAAAAGGAAATTACAATCCCTTGTTAATTGGTGCACAGAGAGCAAGAACAGATGATAAATTTCTCCAAGAAACACAGCAGCTTCTGATAATCTTTTCACAATGCTGATCTCCTTCCTTTCCTTCCTGAACTCCTGGCACTTATAGACTGAAGCACTTGTGGCAAACACCCTCTACCACCACACAGAGTCCCCTGGCAGAACAACATCACCCACTCCAAGAGGAAACACCAAGAATCTATAAAACTTGCTGAAGTTTTGCGTTTTCACTCTGCAGTGACCCAGAAAGCACTCGCCTAAAAGACACTCACCTGCGTGCATCAAAACCTGGCAACGAATTTGGAAGCTAAATGTTCAGTAAATGCTACAGCTGCCCTCTTGCCAAAGCCAATTCAGGGCATTTTGTCTTGCTGTCAGCGCACCAAAAGCTGAGATCCACACCCCCCTGAGCTGCAGTGGGCCATGATGGGGCCCAACACCCCCATCAGGTGCTTCTCCAATAAACCCACAGTCCCATAGGGAGAGCAGTGAGCGCACGAGCTGGCAGCAGTCACTGCAGGGTGTCTGGTCTCTGCAAACGTGGCACTGTTGGTGGTGAACTGGGGT